TTGATGAGTCTCGGCAGACTCTCCATCACATCGCGAATCTTAGCCCCTGGCAAGCAGCAGACTTCTCTGTTTTCCTGGTCAAGGTGTCAGATAGATGACTCAGTCCCCCGGAGGAGAGAGTCCCCGACCACCACCACCACCCGCCTCCTTCTCTTGGGAGTGGTGGTCATGGAACCCCCAACCTTAGGACAGTGCATCTCATGCCTTTCAACTGGTGGAGTCTCCTTCTGCTCCCTTCCCCCAGACTTATCATCTGGGCCACTCCCCACAATGGTACCTGTGGAGAGAACATGAAAACAGTTACTTACCTGTATCTGCGTTGCTGGTACATGGACATTCCTCCTCCTTCTGGAGGTCACATGTTGCCAAATTCCTTCACCGTCCTTCTGTCCCCGCTGCACAGCCTGCTCTGAATCTTCAGAACCTTGTGCCCGTAGAAGCATATCCTGACGTCTGTCCAGGAAATCTTCAGTTTCTCTTATGCAACGCAGGGTCGATACCTGTTGCTCCAGACCTTGAACCTTCTCTTCCAATATGGAGACGAGCTTGCACTTTGTACACACAAAGTTGCTTCTGCCCTGTGGTAGAAAGACAAACATGGCACATCCAGTGCAGGTCACAACAGCTGAACACTCCCCATCCATATTACCTTCCTACACGAGCTTCCTCAGGAGATGCAGTAATTACTCAGAGAAGCTGTAGCCCAGCGCAGAAAGCTGTACACCTCTCGTCGAGGTGGGTTTTTTAGAGCGCTGCATCTGTGCAGTTTCCGCACACTATGTGGCTTGGCAGTGTGTACACCTCGGGAGTTACAGCACTCAAAGCTGCTTTACTGTGCACAAACTTGCCAGTGTTGATGGGCCCTAAGTGTCTTGGCCAAGGTTAGACAAAAGTATCTGTGGTATAGCAGAGACTCAAACACAGATCTCCTGTGTCCCAATCTAGCACCTTCACCACAAGGGCAGCTAAAGTGCGATTAGGCTTTTTGTAAAGACACCCATTACATTAAAGACAGTTGAAATACATAAATACTCCCTCACTTTTACTTTTTCATGTTGGCAATTGCTGTAGATGACACTGGGAGACTGCACAGTCTCGTATAGGAGACTCACATAACTGGCTAGGTCCAGATGCAATGCAGCGGGCGGTGCGTAGGTACCCCAGCACAAGCCTATAATTCACCTCAATCTTGATCGGCAGTTCCAGTCCCACAATATCTCCTCCCTCTGGAACTGCAAGATCCACCTCATCCCCCCGGCTATCCCAGAGCAGGGATGTCCCCTGCGTGCACACACATACACACCTGTCAGCGTACCTCCATTCTCCTTTGCACCACCACCTGTTAATCTGATCATGGATATCTCGCACATTGTTGCCAGTGATGTTGCTATGGATTTTCTCATCTCCATTCCACTTCGAATCCCTAGCACCTCCACCTCATCTGCTGCTCCTCATTCTCATCCCCATCCTGTTTTTAGTCTCCTACCCAGTCCTGTCTGCTGTCCATCCCCATGCCAGTACAAGTCACTCTGTGCAGTGCATCAAAAATCAAACCCAGGTGGCTGGCAGACAGCAAAGCCCTGAGGAGCCTTTTATCATGATCAATAATATTTATGTACCTGAGCACCTCAGTCAAGCTTCCCTCAGAAGTTCTTGTTCTTGCAGTGTGGGAGAGAGGTGTTTGCTTTCCTTCAACATTGTGCTTTTTGGCATCATAAGAACTTTTCTGCACTGGAACACGAGAACAAATTATAGAGCTACCAGGCTTGAGGAACCATGTCAAAAACTGACTAGTGTTATGTGGGTGTGGGCAGAGTTGGACATAAAAACTTATATCAAATTAAAGAGGCCTCTGATTTTTTGTATGTGGGATGGGCAGATGAAGATAGCTCTCTGGTTACCCCATCTGTCTCAAAAGGGAAGTAGGTTGCCCTACTTTCCCAAGAAAGGTGTGTCTTTGTCAGTCAGACGTAAATTGCATTTTTGGCTGCAGAAGGAAAAGTGCAGCTACCAGAGAGGGGGAGCACGAGAGAGCATGGCTTGAGAGGAGCATTAGTGTGGGGCGTTAAATAGACATTATGCTCACGGGAAGAGCAGCAATTGCTTGCTATGGAACTGCAGAGCAGGAACTGGGGATCATGTGGTTGGAAGACCATGATGGGGACATTGGAAGTGACTGAGCTCTCTCATGTAGATGTGGCCTAAGTCAGTACCAAATGCCCTTGGATCAAACCTCACCTCCTCCCTGCCTGTTGGTTCAATCAAAGCATCTCTATCCATCACTCTGTCATCCCGACCTTATCTTTAAGAGGAGTCAGTGTGTCCTTGTACCACCTTCAGGAGTGTGTTTACACCCTATCTGGTGTTGGGGTGTCCTGGTACAACCCTTTCACAATGTGTTTATGTGAGAGTGTCAAGTGCCAAACATTTCTTTGCAATACCCACCCTTTTCTTTCCAGCTCCTGTGGACTTGCAAGTAGGCATGTTTTCTAACAGAGCCTGACTCCTGCTAACCTTGCTTTATATCAGCAGGGCCCTGACTTTAGTTCAGGACTTAGGCCTTACACCAGGCCTCCTTATACTAGGCCTCAGGCTCTCTCTTTCTACGACAGTTACATAAGACCATTTGGATTTGTTTTCCTTCTCAGAGTGAACATGAGCATGAATAAACCCTGCAGTTAAGAAACACGTGGCCAGAATGGCTGGTCTCTGATTGCTGCTAAGCCAGCTGATCCCATTCTCTGTACAGACCTCTTCCTTTCTGGCTTCTCCATAATGAAACAAACCACAGAAGAAAGGGTCTTTATCCACTCGCCTCCCCACCCACCCCCCTCCATCTGACCTGTGATTGGATCCCCCCCATTGGGATAATCCACTCCCACCTTCTACAGAGCACAGTGCCCGGCTGTTGGTATTGGATCAGGTGACAGCAGCTGGAGGTGGGAGGAGGCCAAACTTTGAAGTCATACTCGCAGCATGTTAATTCTGGAATAAATGAGCCCTTTCTCTCTGTTGAGTCCTGGAATAGCTTGTAACAACTTTAATGAAAGAAAAATCCATGTTATTATCTACTCAGCATTTTGAACACAAAACCAATAACGGTTATTGTGTCCAGGCCTTTAGTCGGGCTGGCTCACTCTTGGCTCATGTGACAAGACTTATCTCTGCCTGTGCAACACAGGCCAGATTTGTGCTCGCTTATCCAGCTACTTAATGTCAGAAGAGCTCAAAAGGGGTGGGAAGGAAAGAGGTTTGAATTCCAGCCTAATCCTCGCCTTGTGCCAGTGAGGAGGTGCTAGACCCAATCCTTCCCACACTGCCTCCCACTCATTCCAGATAATCAGTAATTGGGGGCTGAGTGTTCTGCGTCTTGGTTGTTCTTCTTGACTATTCTGACTGGATTGGGGGACGTGTAGTGACTCATGAAAATCAGGGACTGGTAGCACTAGCTACAAACAGGCAGAGTACAAGGGTGGGGTGAACAAGTTTCCCCAGGCTGTCGCACCTTCCGGTTCCTGACTTGGACTTCTTCACCTTCTGCCTGGCTGTTATGCCTGAGCAGAGAGCACAAGGCATGTGGAATTGTGGCATGCATTTTGTGATGTCGAGTAGGGGCAACAGGCGGAGGAGCTCTGCAAATTCGTTTCCAGCTGTGACCTAGACACGCCTGAACCCAGATCTCCAGACGTGTGAAAGGCCAGCAGTGAAAGGCCGAATCTTGCACGCAGCCCCAGCCTTGGCCCCCGATCCAGATGTGGGGCAAGCAAACTCAGCCCGGCAGGATCCAAGTGTGGAGGGGATTAGTGTGGGGGGATCCAGGTGTGGGGCGAGAGGTTTTGTGTGGGTCAATCTGGGTGCAGGCAGCTCAGTGGGGGGTGCAGGTGCCGGGGGGATCTGGATGCACAGGGGCTTGCAGGGGGATTCCGGGTGCAGGGGAATGGGACTCTAGAGGGTGGTCCAGGTGAAGGTGGTTGGGGCTCAGCAGGAGGGGTCAGGGGCTCGGCAGGAGATCTGGGTGGCTCCAAATGCATGGGGACTGGGCAGACAGGGGAGCAACTCCCCATACAGTGAACCCTCCCACCATGGCTGAGGAGTGATGGAGACAAGATATGGGGGCAGGGGGTGTGAAGCTTCCTGCAGCCAGGGGAGGTTTCTGGGGGTGGGTCTGACATGGCCCCAGCCCCTCCTTGCAGGGGAAGAGGAAGTCCCATCCTTTCCTGCCCCACCCAGCCAGGACTGGCAGCTGAGTCCAGCGCAGCGTAGGAGCCACCGGCCAGGACCTCCCCAGCCCCACTCATCTGCCCGCCACAGTGATTTACCTCTCTTCTGGCTGCTCCAGGCACCCGAAACGACGTGCCAGCACGGCAGGGGAGAGGCGTGTGACCACTCTTGCAGTTTCCCTTTGCTTCCCCATCAGAAAGTCAGTTTTCTGCAGGGAAGCAAAGAAATTTGCAAGGAAAACGAATTCTGCACCCACCCAATGGCACAGAATTCCTCCAGGAGTAAATAAAAGACATTCGCTCACTCACCATGTGTCTCTAATAGTCTCAGAAATCTCAGTAGCCAACAGGTGGTCACCAGTCTAGCATATACTATTAATAAAGCATTCAACAGGTGCTAGACAGATGTGTCAAAGACACGAAGACAGCAAGGGGAAAAAAATACCCAAGGAGAAAAGGAAATGTATTGCTTGAGTGGTTCCCCTGCTGGTGCTGTTGAATGAAGTATCATTATAAAAATCCCTTGTGAATCAGAGACAGCGTATTCAGCTTTACTGATTTTACAGAAAATTAGCCCTGAGCTTTGGTGGACGGGGAGGAAAGGGACTCAGGAGGATCCGAGGGGAGGAAAGGACACCAGGAGAGTGCATTCTGTGCACAGGATCAAAATAAGAATTGGATGCAAATCTTTGAGATGTTTTTTCACCTCCATTTACAGGCACTGATTTCGGCAGGCAATGGCGGAGGGGCATCTGAGCTGCTGCAAGAACAGCCAGCAAATTCACAAAGACTAAATGGTGAGACCCAGTCCCTGCAAGAGAAGGCTGGAAATTACACTTCCAACCACTTATTACTTCTCACTTCCTATGCAGCTCCTGAGTTTCCTGCACTGGCGGCAAGTTTCGATAGTCACTGAACTACCGCAGTGGGAAGGGGAAGGCAAAACCACAGGCTGTCTGCAAGTCTGGGAGAGCAAGGGGTTGACTGGAAGGAAAAGGATGGGCGAGTAACACTGGGCAGCATTCACAGCGGTTAGCAGAGAGGGACAAGTGGCTCGGCACAAGGCTTCTGTCAGAGTAAGTGAAGCAGAGACAATCCTTTGGAGAGCAACAACTCGCTTGCTCCTGGTGGGTTAAAGTTTTAAGGACCCAGCTCGTTCCTTGTGAGCCTGCCCTGGATTGAAGGAAAAAGAAAACACAGGCAGTTAGGGACCTGGAACGCATCTGGGATAGTGCCAAGGATGCTGTGTTTCCTGACAGCATGAAGGGACAAAGGTCTGGGAAATGTCTAGCCCTTTGCATGCTGGCTTGGAGTTGCCTCCACTTTGCCTGGAGTGATGCCATCAGTTCCGGGGCCACCTTCACTGGAGCTGGAAGTATCGGAAGGGGCTTCCCGAGCGACGTCACCAATAGAACCGATGTCCGTAGCAACCTTTCAGGTACGTAGTAAGCCAGTGTCCCTCTCTCCCTTACGCTGCAGAACAAATGTGGGGAGGACTGGGGTGTGGTGGGTGGGGGTCTCACTTGCCCATATAACTGGTTGGCATGAAAGGCACAAGTAGGTGGGAGGAAAGTGCAGAATATTAGTGCTGTTATGCACATTTGCTGGCAGACTTGGGATCTATAAGTGGGAAGAGTCATCTGCTCTTAACGTGTATTTATTGCTTACAGTCATAGCCCCAAGCACCATGGCAACATCCCTGCAGTGGGAGAGCTTTGTAATTGAATAGGCAAAATTTTCAGGTGAGGTGAAAGCTCTGACCCCTTTATTTATAGGGGAGATTCCTCTGTGCTACTCTGACTTCTCCCTCCACCCCATGATGACCAACCCATTGGTCAAAGAGGTCTGAACGGAGCATCTTCAAGAGCTTGTTAACGCTGCTATGAACATCCAGTCACCCAAGAGCACCAGAAGGCGCTCTGAATGTCAAGGGGAGGAGCACGCTGCCTCCCCTACACCTCCAGCCTATGTCACACTGATGAACTCATCTATTCTTCTCCTGATCTTAACCTTTGTCATCAAGGGCTGAGGCCAGACACTATGAACATGAGGTAATGTGAAAAGGGGAAAGAGTACAAGACAATTAAGATGGATCTCCAAAAGATTTAACATACTTCTCTTAAGCTTTGGCCAGTGTAGTACCTTAACTTGGCCACTCTGTCCGTATGCATTCTGATACGGGCTTTAATTACACGATCATAGACTATTTTGCCCCATAGGACCCGTCTCACAAAGAGGCTGAAATCCAGGCTGCAGGTGCAGCCAAAAGCAGGGTTGGAATATTTAGAGCCACAGCACATGAAATCGCTGAGGCCCAGGGCACGGAAGGCTTTTAAGTGGATCTACCATGAGAGGGGGACGCAGACATGTTGCAAGCCAGCATAGGAATGCTGAGACTCAGGAATAATGTGTTCAACTCCAGGTTTTGTGCAGGAGTGTGTCTAGTGGCCATAGACCCTTCCACCCCTGTTGTCCCCCAGCCTTTCCCTGTCTACTCCTATCCCCCATTCTGACCAATATTCTCCCTTCCTCCTAACTTCTGGACCCCCCCCCCCCAGCTCGCCTATCCTCAATGGCTCCTGCCCCTCCCCCTTGTTCCTGTTCCTACTCTGTATTCTCCCTGCTTTCCCCCCTCCACCCCCCAGTTTGTCCCCCTCCTCTTGCTCCTAACTCCTTCTGCATGCATTCCATTCAGGTTGCTTCTTCCTTCTCCTCCATGCTGCCTGGCCACCAGTAGGGGGTGAACTGCACAGTCTCCCTGCTCTCAGGCCCCGGGTCCAGAACCACATCAGCCAGGAATAGCTAGTGCAATAAAACCCTGCTCAGCCAGCCCCTGGATCCTCGGGAGGGAGCATGCTCCCTCACTCAGCAGACATGATGCCTGTGCAGTCCCAGCTGCACACAGGAGATGGGAAGGGCTGGAGCATGCTCAGTGTCGACTGTCTTCACAGCTGTTATCTGCCAAACTCTAAACAAGCCTCTGCTGAGCATGTGCAAACAGATGTTTTTTGGCTGGCTTATAAACTTAGCCGAACTTGGGCAAATGTTCACAAGAACACCAAAAGATATTTCTGACACCAGGAGGAGCCCTGCCCAACATCAAGGCCCTGTTCCAAAGCATGGAGTCACTAGAGCTTCTCAACTAAATGGCTAAGATTTTTTTTTAATATGGGGAAAAACAAATCTCATTTTGGGAAACAGCGGAATTATTGTAGCTGAAACTTCCTCTCTCCGCAAGGAAAAAAAGAAAAAAGAAAAATCAGCCTCCGGCAGACACCCAGTGTGGAAAATTTCAGCCCAAACAAGTTAATTTTTCAAAAGTTAAACAACGAAAAGTATGGTCGTATAATGGAACATGTCAGGCAATCTTAACTCTCTATGTTACCAATTAGAACACCAGCACCATGTATGCACACCCGCGTGAAATGCAGGTCTTGGTGACTTGGCCTTGCGTATGGTGGCCCTGATTCAGACGAGCATGGAAGCACACGCTTAACTGCTTTCCTCCATCAAGGCCACTACTGTCACAGGCCAACTGGTGAAATGACTGAACTGAAAGCAGCACAGGGAGCAACTGTGAGGGGAAGAGATTTTCCAGGCAGACTAACGGACGGTAACTACAGTTACCATTGTGGTAATTTTAAACAAATGTAACTCCGGGGACTAACATACTGAAGAAAAGGAGTTAAAGATCTGTCATCTCTTCTCTTTCAATAAAGTTTGAGGGCTCATAATGTACATCCCTGAAGCCCCTAAAGAGGGTCCTCCAATGAAACACGAATTCTGATTTCTAGGGTAAAAACAGCTTCTGTGTAACTATCAGCATTGATTTGCTGTGTTTCTCTCCCAGTTCAGTGTGTGACGCTCCTCCCTCCACCTTACGGATCCTATTACATCGAGAAGGGCACCGGCCTCTCCCTGGGCTCAGTCATTGTGTACTGGTGCAGAGAGGGGTATCAACTGGTGGGCAGCGAGAAGCTGGCCTGTCTCCTCCGAGACAGCACCTCTTACTGGAGTCAGCCAGCACCTCACTGCGAGGGTAAGGCAATGACGAATGAATCAGTCACTTCACTTCAGCTAGCACTGGCTTAACAGATTGTTTACACTAGCGTCTTACAACTCCTCTAGCCTTAAGCAATATCAGTCCACTTCTCCATGGACACGTCTCTCTGCCACTCAAATCACGAGGGGGGGCTGCAATGGCTATTCATTGGCTATTTTGGGAGGAGTTTCAATAAAACCCAACCCGAGGGAATTTGAACCGTCTCAAAACCCTTGGAGGTGGGGCCTTCGGTTTTTAAGGCAGATGAGGGGGGACATTATTGAAGCAACGTGTGAAAACGACACCTGACTACTGCCTATGCTACACCAGTTATGTGGCGAGACCAAGGGGACTTTACTTTGCAAGACTAGCAGTTGGCACTACTCCCAAGTGCTAAATTTGTTAAAAGAAAAATGGGGGGGGGAGGGGGGAGTCTTAGAAAACTTCTCAAGTTCCAGGATACTCAGACCCAAGCAACAAGGGTGTGAAAGGTGTTGCATTTCTTGGCAACTAGGCAGGTTGAGGACAAAGTCTGTGTGTCATTAATCGGACAATATTCCCTTTCTCCCACCATTAGTCTATTGGGTCTATTTGGACTGCGCTCTTTGGGGCTAGGCCTGTCTCTTCCTATATGTATGTACAGCATCCAGTACAAGGGGGTCCTTGTCTCAGTTGGGGTCTAAGAGACTACTGTACTGCAAATAAATGGCAGATAGCTAGAGGCATGAATGGCTGGATGTATGAATTTGCGGGTAGCCGTACAGCTGAGTGAACAACTGGGTGGAGAGAGTCAAAGAATTTCTCTAGGGGCAGTTTTATCTTGGGACTGCAGAGCTCTTTCTGCTCCCAGCTGCTCGTGGGCACGGGCAATTGCAGAGGCGCAGCTGCTTGTGACGCAGGCGCGTATCCCACAGTACGTCTACCATGCTTCAAAGTCTGACACTTCGGTGGAGTTGTTTCCCTAGAACGTAACCAGAGAGGAGGGCAGAGGAAGGAAGTGAGAGGTAAGCAGACGCTGAGACCCCGTAAAACTCATTTCACAGAAGGGTGGCTCAGCCAACTCTCACCAAGGGCCCAGAAAAGCTGCATGCTCTTAACAACAATTCAGTGATCACAGCAGGCAGAGAGTTTGCAGCAGTAAAGAAGTGATGTAATAAAGAACTGGGGGGGTGGGAAGGGGCGGGGGAGAGAAAGAAAGAGAGAGAGACTGCAATAAGGAAAGTTTGAGGAAGCAGCCTTCCCCCTCTCTAGGGTGGTGGTTCAGTGACTGCAAGGGGTTGCCTCAACTGGAAAAGCCACCCAGTGGAAGGGTAGCAGGAGAGAAAGAGCTGCTGCCCCAGGGGCTAGAGCAGGATGGCAGTTGTGTGAGGCCACAGAGACCTGGCCCTGGAGAGAACAGAGAAAGGATGAATGAGAGCCAGCGTCCACGTGACAGCCGCTCTGTAGAAAGGGCTCTCGGTAGCCCTGTGAGAGGGCTGCTTAACTCCACCAAGGGATTATCCTCAATCTGTCCAAGCTACTGTTGTGCCAGCCTCAAACTCCTTACAGGCGTGTTCCATGTTTATCTCCCCAGCCATCCCAAAGCCCCTTGACAAAGGGTTCCGGGTAGCAGTCATAGCCTCTCTCATCAGCGGCGTGATCATTCTGACCATGTCTGTCTCCTTCGCTGCGTGCTGCTTGCGAGACAGGCTACTGAGAAACAGCGCACAGCAGCTGAACACCAGGGAGGAGTAAGTACCTTGGATTTTGGACAGGATCCTGTCATGTCATATAAATGCTAATTCCTAGTGCATGAGGTCTGATAAAAAGGCATGACAAGTGACGGGGGGGAAAGGGGGGAGACGACAAATGAGGCAGGTTGGTTTCAGACTGAAAAAGATTTGGGGCTTGTGGGAGATAATCAGCTGAACATGAACTCCCAGTGTGATGCTGAGGCCAAAGAGCTAATGCAATCCTGGGACGCATAAACAGGAGACTCTTGAGTAGCAGTAGAGAGGATATTTTACCTCAATGTTTGGCACAGGTATGACCCTTACTGCAATCGTGTGTCTAGGTCAGAGCCCACAATTCAAGAAGGATGTTGATAAATTGGAGAGGGGTCAGAGAAGAGCTGCAAGAATAATTAGAGGATTAGAAAACCCGCTTTATAGTGACTGAGTTCCTTAAGTCAGTCTATTTAGCTTAACAAAGAGAAGGTTAAGGGGTGACTTGATTATGGTCTATAAGTATCTACATGGGGAACAAATATTTAATAATGGGATCTTCCAACTAGCAGAGAGATGTATAACATGATCCAATGGCTGAAAGCTGAAGACAGATAAATTCAGACTAGAAAGAAGGTGTAAATTTTTAACAGTATAACACTGGAACAACTTACCAAGGGTTATGGTGGATTCTCCATCGCTGACAGTTTTTAAATCCAGATTGGATGTTTGTCTAAAAGTTCTGCTCTAGGAATTATTTTGGGGGAGCTCCCCTGGCCACGGGTGCTGGAATGGTGTGTGTGTGTGGGGCCGGGGGGGGGGTCATGGCCCCATCACTTTTAAAAGTGGGATGGCTATGTCCTCCTGCTTTTTACCACCTGTAAGAGCGAGCAATGGGGGGGAGGGATGGAGAGAAGCAAGCGGGGGTGGGGCCATGGGGGTGGGGGAAGAGGCAGCAGGGGAGCGGAGCCTCAGGGACAAGGGGAGGGACAGGAAAGGGCCACAGTTAAGCAGCAGTGCCCACCCCCGCCCCTTTTAGGACACTTCTGTCACTCCTGTCCATGGCCTGTGTTACACAGGAGGTCAGAGTAGATAATCACAATGGTCCCTTCTGGCCTTGGAAACTAAGACTAAGAAGGATAGTGGTGGCAGCATCAGCCCTATTTTTAGTATACTCTTCATTGGCCCTTCAGGAGCAGACATCAGATAGTGTTCCTCCAAGTCACATCAATGCAACAGCAGCAGTGGCCACACAGTGCCTAGCTACAGGGTTCCTTGACTAGAGTTCCCTCTGCTGTCTGACTGGGCTCTGCATTTGGAAAAGCAGGAAAAATTCAGGACTTCAGACTGAATCTCTGAGTTGAGAGTATTCAGTAAAGTCTAGAATGTGGATTAACTTCTGTTATTCAAAACTGATCTTTACAAATGTATGGATTGTATTCACTTATTGCGGGGGGGGGCGGGGGAGATCAACGTACAGCACGTGGCATGATTTAGCTTTATACTTGTGGCAAAAAAAACCCTGTATTTTGGCCCTTCTCCATACATTGTGGAAGTCTCAGTTAAACACTGGACAGCTTTACTGCTCCAGAATGATTAATCCAGCATTCCAAGCACCTTACTTCTCTACAGCAGGAAGCGTTCACCCCATAAGGTCCTGGGGCAAGTTGCCTTTGGAACAGACAAGGATTTTTAAAATAGCTACTTGTTACCGTAATGTGGTCTGTTCCAAAGGCAACTTGCCCCAGGACCTTATGGGCTGCGGCAGCTAATCCAGTTGTGCCAGTCTGTCAAAAGCTGAACTGCTCTCAGCTGAGATGCGGGAATTTTATCAGTTTGCAGATTCCCTCCCGAGAACATATACACATACTTAGGTCTGGTCTACATTTCAAAATTAGATCAACATAGCTACGTCACTCAGGGCTGTGAAAAATTTTACACCCTAAGTACCCTACTTAGGTCGACCTAACCCCCAGCATAGATGCAACCAGGTTGACAGCAAATCCCATCAACTGAGGGGTGGATTAGCTATATTGACAGAAAAACCCCTTCTGTCGATGTAGGAACCACCTACACTACACTGGAGTAGCTGCAGCTGTGCTGCGGTAGCATTTATGGTGTAGACATAGCCTCTGGAAGCTTTCCTTTAGACTGCCACAGTTTTGCTCTTCAGGTTTGCTGCTATTGGGGATGCTTAAATTAAAGCTTCTGAAAAGAGACATGCTCATTGAATTCCAATTTCATCCCTGTGAAACATCTTGGTAGGCATTAGCTCACCAGTTGTGGTTTGGATGATCCTTGGTCACCCTTTGCTTTTTTATTACAGCAACACACAGTAGTCTACCTTATCTTGTACACTGCAGATGTACTGGGTCATCTCACTAGAGAACAAGCCGCCACACCAGTCCTGTTATTGAGCCAATTGATAAGCTGGTAATGCCACCTGCTGGCCAAAGAGCTCCACCAACTTGAAATTCACAAATGTCATGCTCAAATAAATTGGTTAGTCTCTAAGGTGCCACAAGTACTCCTTTTCTTTTTACAAATGTTACAATGGTTCCATTTGCTCAACTGCAGTTAATGCAGAGTTCATATTTTCCACTGAAATAACATTGGAGTTGTAGATCTATATCATTTGGCTCTACCAAATGTTTTGCAAGCAAAGAGAGCTTTGGCTGAGTATAGACAAGGTGCAGTCAATGTACTGTATTAAAACTTAAACCTGTTTTGCAAAAAAAAAAAATCATGCAGGAGAAGTCCCTCTACACCTGTATCACTAGTAAGAGTGAAGTAGTGCTAGAATTTTAACAAAGGACTCCTACAAGCATATCACCTTTAGCCCATGATAAAGCCTATGCCACAGACGTAGCGTTGCACAGAGAGGAAAGCTACGGTACTGGAGGAATCTATTTGTTTTCCCACTTTAAAATGTTCTCTCCTAACCAAGGAAGGAAGTAACGTAACTGGGGTACTGAATATGCTAAATGCATTTGCTGGAAACATTTATATTTTCTTTGTGAAAAACAGATGGAGTTCAGTGATAGTACAGCACAGTGCTCAACTTCTGTAATCACAAGTGAGGATTGAGGTGAAGGGAAGCTAAGTATCCTTCTCCAGCAAGGATTTTTAAAATAGCGACTTGTTACCGTAACGTGGTCTGTTCCAAAGGCAAACAATTGCTCTTCCAAAATGGTTATGAACCCCAGCAATCAGTCAGGGCTGGGAAAGGGGTGATCCAAAATCAGGGAAGTCACCACAACACTCCATTATACAGCTTGATGGCAGGATTGTAACAAGAGACTCCCACAAACTTACTGCAGCATAGGCTGCAATCCCGGCAGACCTCAAACACTAAACAGGGTCAAAACATTGTGGGCTAGGATGGGGGTTGGTGATTCAGTAGGTGACACTCTTCCCAGGCGGCAAGTCACTATTGCACTAGCGCCCAACACCAGGTCAGGGACACCATGCTGCTAGAAGTACTCTCTTTCAAACGAGATACAACACTGAGGTCTTGAGCACCTGTGGTCATTAATCACATGGCAAAGTAGGAGATTAGATACACTGGCCCTCAGAAATTCCAGCCTGTGTAATCACATTCTTCCGACAGACATTCTCACTGCAGTTACAGTATTTAACACTTCCCCCTTTAAAACTGTAAGGTGGCTGTTTATGGTTAAACAGCTGCTGCATTCTACAAAGTGGTATATAGACTCAAATTCCCCAGTAGTTTCAAGTAGGCAGGGAAAGCCAGATGTTTGCTACATGAATCCCAGTTAATTTGCCTCAGATTGAGAGAGAAAAAGTGAAGCACCGATGCCAGAAAAATAGTCCAAGGCAAATGGAAACACAAATACTCTGTACACCTATGCAAAGGGCCTAAGAAATCCTTCCTTTCCTCTACAGCAACTGCCAAAGAGAGCTATACAGGGTGATGAATGGCTTCATCAAGCCAGAGTGACTAGTCCACAACAGAACGCACCATCCCTCATGGCAAGGAGCTTCTTTCCTGCTGAGAACACCACATGTATCCAGGAGGCCTCTTAGGACACCTGGAACCAGACACCAAGTGTATGCCCAATATCTGACAGACTCTTTGAACTAATTTGATCCATTCAAACAACAGAAAGCCCTAGATATCCTGAAGTAGACAGGAGTCACCACCTTTGTGAATCAAATCCTTGCTCTGGCTGACTAGTGAAGTACAGCCAAAAGTAACTAGAACCCTTTCAAACAGGGTCAGCTCCTTGTTCCAAGAAATATTGAATGAGGATAAACTGAACCGGTGACAGGAAACACATTTTTGCATCATGCATAGTTAAACCGGCAGAACTCACTGCTGCAAGATAGACTAAGCACTTGGCTGTAATGCTGATTAAAAAAGGATTAGACATGAACACGCACAATGGGAACATCTACAGCTAGGTTAGTGAGGATATTTTTAAAGAGATATAAAACCTCATGCTTCAAGGTACAAGTCAATCACTGAGTAGTGGGGGTCAGGACACTTTTCCTAGAAGGCAGGTTATTCCATAATTGTGTAATGGGATTTTTTGTGTTTGTTTTTAACCTGGCTTTGAAACATCTGGTACTGCTCACTACCAGAGATCAGACACTGGAAAAAGTATCACAGTGATTCGTGTGGTTTAAGAGTCTAAATAGAATAAATTTGAGTTAAAGTATCTCCTTAATGACCTATATATAAATATAAAGCCAGAGGAAGCAAGAGGGGCACAGCGAGAGTTAACCCATTCATTTCTTGCACAGTCTCACTTTGCAGTGGAAGTCTGCATAGGGCTTGATGCTACACCCCCTTGCAGCCAGATTCCTGAGCTTGCAGACTGCCTGGAGGAAATGAGAGTAGCTGAAGGGAGTCCCCTTCTCCCAGTAATCACATACAATGTCTACACAGTGCTCCTTACCATACCAGGCCTGGGCCCAAAGGCCCAAAACATAGAGCTGGTTGAAATTTTGCAAATGAAAATGGAGTTTCCTGTCAAGAAATGTTGTAACAAAACCAACGTAATTTTCTGTGAATAGTCAACATTGGCAAAATGTCTCCTGTTTAGCAAAGTCAGCCTATATGCTCTGTGATCCAAGTTTTCCAGCATTTTGATGAAATGGCCCTGAAAAAATACAAAGTAACAGATTGCAGTTTGTTTTCTGCAGTTCTCAACCAGCCCTACTGAAAAATCTTCATAAACTTTGATTCTCACCAAAACGTGAGTGCATTACAACGTTTTGCTTTATGTCTCATTGTTTCTCTTTTCATTTTTTAGGCAACAGCAGGGCAGGACGTGCCGGGGTTCAAGGCAAGCTGATTCCACTAACAAGGAAATGGAGAAGCAACAAGGAGCTTTTGGGAAACTGAAGCACCATCACAGGCTTGATTACCGCATCTCCGCCCTCCGTAGTTCTGTATACCCTGGGGCACTTGCAGGGTGCAGTAACCAGGGATTCCAAAGGTACTTGTTGCCATTACCCCATAGAGAGACTGCTCACCCATGGAGGTTGGATCCAACAATGTTGGTAGTCAAAGACTGGCTTCTTCACTGGGGAAAGTGTTAATTCCAGATCACTTCTCCTTTGCAGCACACATGCCCCAAAGGCTTTTCAATCCACATCATGGACAGAGCTTTTTCTCCCCGTTTTTTGATCAGATTGGGATATAAGGCCTGCTATTATGCTATAATGCCCAGCTGCAACTGTCCCTGCTGTTCCAGTGCTGGGTTCTGCTAAAGCACCATAGTCCTGGTTTGTAGCAACCCTTGTTGCAAGACTGGGTCTCTTCTGTTTTGGAATTTAGTAATTTTCCTGATTTACCAGATGTGATTATTTTGCAGTGTAACTAGAACACTTACTAGGGACTAACCCAAAACTAATTTTCCTTTGGTCTTACACCTAAGCACTGGAAGGCACATTTGCAGTGGGGAACAGTTAATATGTTTACCCACTTCCTTACTCAATTCCTTCTCAGCAATGCAGCAATTTAAATGCACTTTTGCCTGCTGCCTTTTGGAAGGTTGCAACATGCTGCCATCAGGATAGAAATGATAATTCTCTGCTGTCCTTGGATATTTCTAATAGAATGGAGCAGGATTGGTTGGGTTGAAACAGAGGGAGATGTCTTATTAGCAGAGTGTCTTGTTCTCACTCTTGTCTCACTTTTGCCTTTAACAGGAGTCAGGAGAATTCACACCAGACGTCCATGCAAAGCTTATGCTCTGAAATCCACGTCTTCCCACAAGTGGTTCTGCGGCCGGGTGCAACACCATCTGCCTCCTCTATGTACATTCATTTCCCCCAGAAGCCAGGAGATATCTCCCTGGCTATAATGCCTTGTCATGCCAACTCCCCCAGAGACATACCCACAGCCTACTACAGAGGATATGAAGAACATAAGCCCTTAAGCCTGTATTGATAGTGATCAGCTTACAATTTTAAGCCATTACCCAATTCCTTATTAACACCAATTCCTTGGAAGTCTCCCAAGCTCAGCAAGGAGAGGCATATGATAGAATCAGTGCGACTGGATTTTCAAGCGGTTATTGCAAACAGGTGAAAAAGAGTGACATTTCATGTTGAAAGTATATTTGACCCCACTCTTGTTTTCTTCTGCACCCAGGCTGTTTACATGCTTGTTTAAAATGTAAGGTCATGTGCTATAAGGATCCTGATTGTTTTAATGAGAAAGTGAACAGCTGAAGTCAACTGCTCCAGATTACAATACAGCCCGAGCACATATAGGCATTTCATTACACAACATTCTGACCATCTATTCTGTGGATAAGTTTACATGGCCATCTGTGATGGTTCTCAGGGTATCCAGGGCAGTGAGCCATCTTGTCACATATATAACTCCTTGGATAGTGTCTGTATGTACATTTCATGATATTAACAACCACCCTGATCCCGGCTTTCATTTAAGACCTCCCATGATATTCTTTAGTGAAACAGAATGCACATACCAGGATGAGGATATTTTGCAATGCCCTGGACAGTTGGTACTGAAGGATTCCTGGGTCACATCATCAATCTCCAAAAGAAAAGTGTCCAGAGAGGAGGGTTTTTGGAGGTGGAGATGTAACTGGAACTTCTTTGATCCTAGTTTAGGAGTATAGTTTGGGACTAAGTGAAACAAAAGGGGGTTTTATTTTAATATTGATTCTTTACAGCTTATCACTTCTACTTAGAGAATCAAGGACCAACAACATAAGAACGGCCATACTGAGTCAGACCAAAGGTCCATCCAACCCAGTATCCTGTCCTCTGACAGTGGCCAATGGCAGGTGCCCCAAAGGGAATGAACAGACAGGTTATCATCAAGTGATCCATACCCTGTCACCCAATCCCAGCTTCTGACACCATTCCTGCCCATCCTGACTAATAGCCATTGATGGACCTATCTTCCATGAATCTATCTAGTTCCCTTTTGAACCCTGGTATAGTATTGGCCTTCACAAGGAGTTCCAGAGGTTGACATACAGTAACAAATGCTTAAAGGTGACGGCAAAGGGGAAAATGGGTGTGCACCCTTTTTGGTTTTTCATGAAGGATGAAGTGACCTGAAAGGTTTTTAATTCAGTCTCCCACTATTTTTCTTCCTACATTAGAAATTCACTTCATGTCTACTCTACCAAACACAATGGGGACTGCTGAAGAACGAGCAACATGAACATTTTGATTAAAGAAACCTTTACAGTTACATAGGCGTTAACCAAAACAAAGTTACAAACAAACAGTCTGGCTAAAGATTCCTTCCCCTCTTAACGGCTCAACTGGCATTCGGATTTTGTGACTGTAGAGTCAACATCTCATTTCTTCAATTAAGGCGAGAGCCGACAGTACATATATAGTGGCTCCTCCAGCAAAGCCAGACAAGACTAGAGCTGATATAGAAATATTAGCTATGTTTAAAAAACGCAGGGGGAAAAGAAAAGGAAGCTTAGGAAAGCCCACCTTTCAGGCCTTTCTTTCACACAACAAAGGAGCAGAAAAAGGGCCAGAGCACAATTTAAAAAAATCCTTTGCAGGTCACCATTTTGTTAAAAAAAAATATGTAGACCCCTCGAATGAAATTGTATCCACTGCTGTGCTGTAGGAGAAAATATAAGTCTTCCATCCTTACAAAAAGCATTACTGTTTGCTGGGAAAATGACTAGACAAGCTGAACTGGCACATGCTGCTCTCTCAACGCAGAACTCCCCCGTGACCGAGAAACAATCACTGGGACTGCTTGTGTTATCAGTAATAAAAGCCATTGCCCAAGAGAAGAATCAAACTTCAAGAAAGGCACTCTACTCTCCAATAGCATGCCCGAAGCTTGTGAAATGGCTTCATTCTTAGCAGAGGACAGGGCAGCATTCCCTAATCACAGCTGCCAGTATGAAAGGATTCCTAGAAGGTGTAAATCTAGTGAGAGACAATGGCATTTTGAGCCAAAGGTATTAGAGGATGTTTGTGCCTAGATCCCACAGAGACCATGTTAAATAAAAGCACAACACACAGATTTGATGGGAATCAACAACTTCTGCTGTGAAAACTACACCATTCAATTCCTCAGTAACTTAGATGAGATTTAAGCCAGTCAAAAACACAAAAGGAGGGGGGAATTTTCACATGGATTTCATATTTTTATGGCCTTTTGGGGAGGGTCAAAGTTAAAAAAATGCAACATTTTTCTACCTGTTTTAAGAGAATACACTCCCCCATCCCAACCCGTACACACAATTGGGTTTTTTAATTCAAGAGAGCCTTTGGGACATGCTCTGGAGCTAGCAGTGTCTCCAGTTCAAAGAGCTGGAGAGAAATGGAATTTCCACCCTGAATGAAATTCAGAGATCGATGTTTGTTTACACCCAGAATTGGGACAAGCAGTAAAAAAATTTCCAAACAAGTAGTAAAAATGTTCAGATTAGAAACTTACAAATGAAACTTGCTGGAATTTCCCAAACAAAACGTTGACATTTTGAAATGAACACTTGCATTTCTAAGCATCAGTTTGAAACCACGTTTTGTTTTCAAACTGCCTTTTCAAAAACAAAACATTTGATTTTCCTGACAGAAAATGGAAGAATTTCACTGGAATTGACATTTTCCTGCAGGATTCTGGTTTCGGTGAAGCCACATTTTTGGACAGAAAGATGTTGGTCAAGAATTTTTTTGACCAACTCTAGTTCTAAAAGCAGCACAACTCAGTGAAGGGGAACAAGTATATGAACTGCTTTGAGTCCTAGCACATTGTCCACAAAACCTGTAGAGAGAAGCAAAACACCTGCTTCAGGTGAGAGGAGACAAGTATGAGAAAGCATTTTGCCGCTTGGGGGTTATTTACCAAAAAAGAGAATGGAGGAAGACATGTTGGAGTTCAGGAATGTGGGATTAATCTTTATTAAATTCTAGGAGTAAACCTAGTAAACCATGCAGGATATCTTCCACCACCATCTCATCATACAGTGGGGTTAAATAGTGATTTGGGTTTAAGTTACACAATTTACAATTTTCCACCTGCCTGTGGTTTCTGCCAGGAATGTTTCAGTCCTAGTTTGTACCATGATGAGAAGCACCTTTAGAATAGCAGCCCAACATGAAAGAACTCCAATTACTTAATGGAGACTTTGAAACAATGACCGGTATTTCTGAACGGCTGTGCAGTTTTAATGTGCTCTTCACTAATATTTTTATGGTTCTTTGGCAAATGTTATATGAAGATCAGTCGCTCCTCAGAGAGGCAATATATTTCCCTAGCAATGATTTAAAAGGATAATATTTAGTGCGTGCATTGTCGTCTAGCCAAGCGGTGGCATCTTCAGTGGCGTGATGCAGTTCTGCTAGGCCACCACGGAACCTAGTGAGCAGGCATTCATCGATAATGTGCGCCATCGTCTGTGTTGCACCGCAGCTGTCACAAAGGCCCGTCACAAAGGCCCCAGCAACGCTGGTTGGCTGCACAGAGACCTTGCCTGGTCTGGAACCTGTTCAACAGGGACCACTGGAGATGGGGCAGGTCAAAACCAGGCAGGCAGATTGTGGGGGTCGGCGACAAGGGACCGGTTGGGGATTATAACAGATATCCATTCCTCTCACCAGAGTGTTTCTGCCCTAACATCCTGGCGTGGCAGCTGAGACCATAATGGGCAACGCGATGGCAAACACGCGGCTAGTGGTTTAAAAAGGTCATTGTGCAGCAGCAGGTTTGAGTTAGCGTGTACTTTCTCCAGTAACTTGCCAGTGGCAATCTCTCGTCTGATATGAGGAGGAGCGCTACTGCTCAGAACTGGAAGCCATGGGAGTGAAGTTGGATGCAGGATGCCAGAGAGGATACACACGGCGGCATGTACCTGCATCTTTGTCATGCTACCCACCAGTACCTGACAGCAGTCAGGGAAGCTAATGATCCAACCAGCGAGCCGAATTCCACGAGCACCAGCTCAACAAATTCCGGCACTGTCATCACCGACAACCCCAGCATGCAGCCCAGTGACTCCTATGTCATTGGTCTAGCTCTGCAGGTGTAACAACTCAACGTGGAAGGTTTGTCAGCTGCAGAGTATGATTTACTCAGAGTTTTTGCAAGATAATATTAAAAATATATTACAATTCAAAAATAATTAAAGAGCTGGGGCAGTTTCTCTGTGCCTTTGGCTTGCTCTTACGTTATCAACTGGATATGGCTATTTTCTGGGACAAGAAAGAACTTGCATTTCATTTCTTCTATTACCACTCTTCTGAGCACACTCCCACGAGTTGGACTGGAAGAAGTGGCAGTAGTTTACTCCTCCTTGAGTCCAAGAGTAGGTATAGGTATCTGCTAAAGTTACCAGCAATGAGTTAGCAAATTGAGAATTGCTAGGCTTCAGTTAACAGCAGAGTGGAACTTCTCAGAGCTATTGTCTGTCTGCAGTGTCAGGAAGACAGCAACAATTAGCTTCCACATGCAAGTAGTTTTCTTTGCAGAGGGATAGAATTTAAAAACTTTCATTCCTGCAAACTAAAGTTCTACAGAAACAGATGGGCCAGAAGAAAAGTGCTACTCAGGCATATCTTCATCATGTGACCTCTGTTCCCCTTCTGCCATTGGACAGCCATCTCTTTGCACCCATCTCCTACTCCACACACACACAAACACACACCAACCAACCCACCTTTCCTTGGGAGCTTACCCTCCCACCTGGTGCTCCTTAGACTTAGCTCTGGTCTACACTATAGGGTTAGGTCGAATTTAGCTGCGTTAGGTAGATTTTAAAATGGATGCGTCCACACAACCAACCCCGGTCCGTCGACTTAAAGGGCTCTTAAAATCAACTTCTGTACTCCTCCCCGGTGAGGGGAGTAGCGCTAAAATCGACCTAGTTGGGTTGAATTTGGGGTAGTGCAGACACAAATCGATGGAATTGGCCTCCGGGTGCTAACCCAGAGTGCTCCAATGTGACCACTCTGGACAGCGCTTTGAACTCCAATGCACTAGCCAGGTACACAGGAAAAGCCCTGGAAACTTTTGAATTTCATTTCTTGTTTGCAAAAAGAAAATGAGTACTTGTGGCACCTTAGAGACTAACCAATTTATTTGAGCATGAGCTTTCGTGAGCCACAGAGCTGTGGCTCACGAAAGCTCATGCTCAAATAAATTGGTTAGTCTCTAAGGTGCCACAAGTACTCCTTTTCTTTTTGCGAATACAGACTAACACGGCTGTTCCTCTGAAACATTTCTTGTTTGGTCAGCGTGGCAAGCTCAGCGGCACAGGTGACCATGCCGTCCCCCAAGAATTGCAAACGAGCTCCAGCATGGACCAAAAGGGAGACACTGAATCTGATTGGGGGGGAAGGATAGCTCAGTGGTTTGAGCATTGGCCTGCTAAACCCAGGACTGTAAGTTCAATCCTTGAGGGGGCCATTTAAGGATCTGGGGCAAAAATTGGAGATTGGTCCTGCTTTGAGCAGGGGTTTGGACTAGATGACCTCCTGAGGTCCCTTCCAACCCTGATATACTATGATTGCTATATGGGAAGAAGCATCTGTGCAGGCAGAACTCAGAGCAAAAAGAAGAAATGCCAATATATTTGCCAAAATCTCACAGGGCATGATGGAGAGAGGCTACAACAGGGACACACAGCAGTGCCTGGTGCAAGTTAAGGAGCTCTGGTAAGCCTACCAAAAGACAAAGAAGGCAAACGGTCGCTCCGGGTCAGAGCCCCATACATACCGCTTCTATGATCAGCTGCATGCCATTCTGGGGGCGGGGACCCTACCACTACCCCACCACTGTCCGTGGACATCTGCAAGGTGGGAGTCTCACGCAACAGGGAGGAGGATTTTGTGGAGGAGGAGGAGGAGAATGCGCAGCAGGCAAGCGGTGAATCTGTTCTCACCGACAGCCAGGACCTTTTCATCACCCTGGACCCAATACCCTCCGAAGGCGGGATCCCCGACCCTGAAGCCAGAGAAGGCAGCTCTGGTGAGCGAACATTTGTAACTACAGTACAGGGTTTAAAAGCAATAGTGTTTAATGTTTGATTTGCCCTGAAGAATTGGGATGCATTCACGGCCAGTACTGCTATTGGAAAAGTTTGTTCACATGTCTGGGGATGGAGCAGGAATCCTCCAGGGATATCTCCATGAAGCTCTCCTGCCTTATTTCGTCCTGCATGGTAGGACGCTTTACCACGCCAAGCCAGTAGCAAGTAGTCTGGAATCATTGGAGCACAAAGCATGGCAGCGAATGGTCCTGGGTTTTGGTCGCATTCAAGCAACATTTGGTCTATATCTTTCTGTGTTAGCCTCAGGATAGTGATATCATTCATGGTCACCTGGTTGAAATAGGGGAATTTTTGTAAGGGAACAGTAAAAGGACCCCGTGCATGCTGGGCTGTTTGCACTTGGCTAAAAGGGATCATCCTGGACAATAGCCACGCAGCAGGGGGAGGGAGAGGTGTGTACTGCACATCCACCCGAAAACTGCAGCCCCTCCTTTTACATGTGAAACCCAACCCATTGTTTGCTATGGAAAGGATGGTGCTGCAGTTTGAAACCATTCCCACATGTTATGCATAACATGTTATGCAACCCCGTGTACCCTGTGCCTTACCATGGCTGCCTGGAAACCGAATTCTGTTGCCCCGCCTTGTGTGATGTGTCACCATACCAGCAGGTGCTCAATATAAAAGGCAAAATGCAACCTTGTACCTAAAGCACATGTGCTGTCTGCTGTGAATTGCTTGATTCACTGTGAAAGAGTATCCTTTTTATTCTTAGAAATGTATCAAATTTTACTCTCCCTTATCTTCTCCCCCCCACGCAGGTGCAAATGTTTCTACGCTCCCCCTATCATCTCCGTCCCCTGAGGTTATCACAGATTAGAAGGCGAAAAAAACCACACTCGCAATGACATGTTTTCCGAGCTCATGCAGTCCTCCCGCACTGATAGGGCACAGCTTAATGCATGGAGGCATTCAGTTTTAGAGGCCAGGAAAGCATTAAGTGAGCGCAAAGAGCGGAAGCAGGAGCGTGAAGAGCGGAGACTAATGGGGGAGCAAATGGACAAGATGAAGCATCTGGTGGAGCTGCAGGAAAGCCAACAGAAGCACAGACCTCCGCTGCATCCGTTGTATAACTGCCTGACCTCCTCCCCAAGTTCCATATCCTCCTCACCCAGATGCCCAAGAATGTGGAGAGGGGTACGGGGCAGGGGGGAGGCTCCAGGCACCCAGCCACTGCACTCCAGAGGATGGCCCAAGCAACAGAAGGCTGTCATTCAAACAGTTTGATTTCTAGCATGGCTACAAAAAGCAATGTGGCCTTGTCCTTCCCTCCTCCCCGAGCTCACCCCACCCGGGCTACTTTGTCAGTTATCTCCCTTTTTAAAAAATTAAGAAAGAAAGAATGCATGGTTTCAAAACAATAGTTACTTTATTTCGAAGGGGAGAGGGTGGTTGGCTTACAGGGAATTAAAATCAAAGGGAAATAAAAACAAAGGGGACGAGTTTGTATCAAGGACAAATACATAAAACTGTCACACCGAAGCCTCGCCAGTCATGAAACTGGTTTTCAAAGCCTTTCTGATGCGCAGCACACCTTGCTGTGCCCTTCTAATCACCCTGGTGTCTGGCTGCTCAAAATCAGACGCCAGGCGATTTGCCTCAACCTCCCACCCCGCCATAAACGTCTCCTCCTTACTCTCACAGATATTACGGAGCACACAGCAAGCAGCAATAACAATGGGAATGTTGGTTGTGCTGAGGCCTGACCTAGTCAGCAAACAGTGCCAGTGAGCTTTTAAACGTCCAAATGCACATTCTACCACCATTCTGCACTTGCTCAGCCTGTAGTTGAGCAGCTCCTGACTACTGTCCAGGCTGCCTGTGTACGGCTTCATGAGCCATGGCATTAAGGGGTAGGCTGGGTCCCCAAGGATAACTATAGGCATTTCAACATCCCCAACAGTTATTTTCTGGTCTGGGAATAAAGTCCCTTCCTGCAGCTTTTGAAACAGACCAGAGTTCCTGAAGATGCGAGCGTCATGTACCTTTCCCGGCCATCCCACGTTGATGTGGGTGAAACATCCCTTGTGATCCACCAGTGCTTCCAGCACTATCGAAAAGTACCCCTGGCGGTTTATGTACTCGCCGGCTTGGTGCTCCGGTGCCAAGATAGGGATATGGGTTCCGTCTATGGCCCCACCACAGTTAGGGAATCCCATTGCAGCAAAGCCATCCACTATGACCTGCACATTTCCCAGGGTCACTACCCTTGATATCAG